GTCCTTCTCTTAGAGTGCTTACCAACCTCGACCAGACAAATCAGTTTAACCCAAAGCAATGTGGGCGGCTGAGAAGTGATGGATTCATAACCTTTCCACCGATATTTACGTGCAAGTAAATGTGAAGAACTCAACTGCAATTCGAACTCGACTCTCCGATTTCTCATTAAGAGCACCTATACTTTTGTGTTTTTTGTTCACCCACAGAGTCCACCTGTGGCTTTATAGTTCAACTATGCTGAGCAAACCTTAGTTTTCAGTTCCTTTTTTTCTCGTGTTTTCTAGCATTATCAATAATCTGAATAAGACCAGCACACACAAACCCTCGGTCACGATGACTTGTGACTTCGTGCTAGCACAGCTATCGAGGGCCCCCAAGCGTTCTGTTTACCCAGTTTCACTCACAAGGCTTGGGTCAACCCGTGGTATGGTTTTCAAGCACTTTCCAAACGTTCTGCACGCTGGGATCGCCACCCATGCATCCTCCAGACCGATAACATCAGTGTTATGGGATCTTACCCATAATAATAATAATAATAATGGAGTATTCCATACTTAACAAATACTGCGCCTCAGGAGTAGGCAAGGAGTCAGTCGCTCAAGTCCTGACCGACTGTTCGGTTGAACTCTCTTCCTACGGACGGGAGGAACCCGAAGGGGGCTACGCCGAAGGGCAGAGTCTCCTTCGGGGAGGTAGACCGGCCCTGAAATCCGTTTATATGGGTTCAATTGGGCATATTTTTGGCCGAGCCTACGGGCTCGGAAATTCCCACGTTAAAAAGGCCTTGTGCCACATGACACCCTCGTGGGGGTGGGGGTGACTGAATATCGTCAGTCGTTCAAGTCTGAACCGATTGTTCGTTTGTACTCTCTTCCTACGGACGGGAGGAACCCGAAGGAGGCTACGCCGAAGGGCGGAGTCTCCTTCGGGGAGGTAGACCGGCCCTGAACCCGTTTATACGTGTTCAATGGGCATAGTTTTGGCTGAGCCCACGTGGGGGGGGGTGACTGAATATCATCAGTAGTTCAAGTCGAGTCAGTAGTTCAAGTCGAGTCAAGAGTCGAGTCAGAGGCAGTCCGAAACAGAGTCGCGTTCAGACAATTACTACAAGACATTGGAATAGTGATACTGGTCGAGACTACACTGTTCTCGCTACTAAACCTGATTGTTCATACTAACACTTCTACTTCTCTGTATATATTCCTGTTTGTAATATATCTGTGTTATTCCATACCTGTGTTCGAGTTCTTCTTTATTGGTTCTAAGTTGGACTATCACCGTAGTACAAGGAACCGGACTATAACAATCAGAAAGACTCTTTCATGACAAATCGACCATAGTGAGATTCGAACCTGCGACTCATGGTCAGAAAGCGAACTTTCTAACCACTCGGCACATACATCCTTACATATATACATACATACATACATACATCTACATATGTGTCAAAATATTGTTATAGACACTCCCTAACAGGGAGATAGTTTCCTTTTCAAGAGGCCCGGTCGATGAGAATGAATCAATACATTTTGGTGTAGTGTAAGTCAGTTATATGATTCCCTGTCATATCCGAGCACCTAGGGAGCTTACATTATTTACTTGGGCGTCCGTTAATCAATAGATTCATTCCTTGAATGACATCTTAAGCAGGAGTCATCTCTTTTGACTTCCGTCCAGGGACCAGTCATTGAGGCCCTGTTGAGACAATCGGTTGTTAAATTGATCCTGGTCATCTTGAATTTGAGCAAAATATTTTGTATTCATTATTGTAGACATACGTTTGGCCAACCACATTACACACAAGCACGTGCGCAGACACACAAATGAACTACATATATATATATATATATATATATATATATAAACACTCATGCACACCCGACCCACTAACCACACACACACACACACACACACACACATATATATATATATATATATATATATATATATGCACGTATATAGTTGAAAGCATTCTTTTGTATTTATATTTTACGTGAACATGGATGGCCACGCACACAAGGAAACTGTAAACACAATGACACACAAGGTAGAGCACATGATTTTAACTGAGCATATACCTACACACACAGGGACACATGCACTTCTGACACTCATTTATTGTTGTAACCTGGGGAAATTTAGTGAATGGAATAATCAAACGAAGTTTGGTAATGAACGATAATACTTAGGACAAGAACAACGCATATAAGATTCGCCAGCGGCGCGTAGAAGAAGTAGTCAACTACGAGAGGTGGGAAGTGAATTCCGCAATGCATCTTCAACTGCAGGATCTCTACTAACCGCCCCACGCAGTCAGATGTGGGACAAGGCCGAATTTAATGGAGGGTATCCGTGTCCGTAGGCTGGGCCAAAAATTCCCCTTACACACCTTATGAAACGAGGTAAAGTTGCTCTTTCACGAGACGAGACTCTACCCAACGAGATAGCCTCGTCTGGGGATACTCTCTGCCCGGAAGCTGAGAGTTTAACCAGCACAGCTGGAGACGAATCTCCAACTGCAGGATATCTACAAACCGCTCCACGCGGTCAGATGTGGCACAAGGCCGAATTTAATGTGGGGTATCCGAGCCCGTAAGCTCGACCAAAAATTTCCCGTAGACTCAGTAGGTCAGGTAGCTATTTCCTGGGACGAGACTCTGCCTTTCGACATAGCCTCGTATGGGGATCCAGAGGCAGAGAGTTTGACCAGCACATCTGGAGACGACTTTCCAACTACAGACCAACATACAGTATTTACTACTGTATTTATGTGAATGGGGACATACCCATTATTGTCTGTAGGTATGCTAGAACACTTATACTAACGAAAAACGAAATTACAAAATCACGGTTATTATTCATTTTGTTTTAAATTAAACGTAGAATATTTTATAAAAAAGTCACAAGTTAGAGGCTTCACGCTAAAATCGCATACGGTGAACGGAGAGATGTTAGGAATCGAAGTTTATGAAGATAATGAGGATAGATAAAGCTTGACCTTTGACATGAAAATGTTAAGGTTTTACCTGCAGGGGGGGTCAACGCAGGTGTCTGTAACATAAATAGCAGTTATTTTGAATACGTGGTTAATGGGGATGATTCGGCTCTGTGGAAGTAGCATAGCGTGTTTTAGCTGTAAAGATCTGAACTGGTAAAACTCAAGAAAGGAGCTTTTTTGAAAATAGTGAGACAATACAAACAGGCTTGCAATGTTGTGTCTGTAAGAAAGAGATGACAGACCGGAAAACGTATTTCTCCACAAGACCGCGTAAAAATATTTTGAAATCTCCCAAGACTTGAAAGCAATCATGGCATCTTTTGAGCTAATCTGACTTTTGTAAATGTTGTGGATTCCGAGATCAAATTCGGTCTCCAATGAATGACAAACGCAGGAATTAGATATAAGAAATAAAATGTATTTACACAATAATACAAAGAGTATTACTGTTAGTAAATCCAGGAACGCGATTAGTAGCAATAACATATAGATATATACAGTGTCGAAGTAGGGCTTCCTTAGAGTCTACGTGCTTGTAACTGACTTCTACAAGCGGTTACCTCACACTATTACTCTACCTCCAACTCAATCACCATCACTCAGTCTTCTTACTATCCCTACTCACTCTCTGACTGACTGTCTAATTCTGGGTATTTAACGGCAGCAGTCCAAGTAACACTCTGGTTGAGTCCACTTATATGAAAAAGGGGTGGACCCCATAACAGTAAAGGTAAAACAGATATTAAAGCTTGGTTACAGTCAATGATCACATATTCTGATTCATATTTGTAGATTTTTTTTGTGTTTTAAATAAAATTAGTCTAATGAAACATATAAAAAAAATTTAATCGGAAACTCGCAGGAAAATTAAACTGAAAATATTTCAAGAATTATGTGGGATCGTTAAAGACTCTGATAAAAAGAATACGATATTCACGCTCAGGAGGATACCAAAAAAGAGCTATACAAGTACAGAACGATGTGTACCTTTGTTTTATAGATTATGCAAAAACGTTTGATAAAGTATGTCACACGCAACAATTGGAACTGTTAGGTTAGGACAGGTCGATTTTAGAATCCTGGTATTGCACTCAATTTAAAAATCATGCCAGATAAATAAAACCACAAAATATATTTTTCCAAATCATTATCGTTTTTTAAGGAAACGGGTTTAAAAAATTAAGTTTAAGTTCAAAATCTTAGCGTTGGAATTTCATTCCAGTGATCAGTGAATGCCTTATAGCACAGCCTTTTAAAATATATAATTTACTGAAGCTTTCCAAGTTGTATATGGACAAAGTGCATGCAGATTATTACGAAATCATTGTACCATTAAATAAGACCTTCATTAACTTCAAAGGGAAATTACTCTGAACAATTTAGCTATATTATGATATAACCATAGTAGTTTTAGTGTGATTGGCCAAATTTCAAAATTTTCTCACTGGATTGCAGTGTCCAAAACCTCACTAGAATCTATTCATATCCTACATTTTGGCATTTGGAGCCTAAAATCAACAATTTACCCATCTCACCTGTATATTTAAGGATCAACAAACAATATATCTAAAAAAAAAAGCATATATTTACCCTGAAAGTATAAAATTACGTAAAAAATATCTGTAGCTGAAGCCATAAAATTGTGTACAAAATATTTAGATTTTGGTATTAAATAACCCATAGAGGTGTTGATATGCGACAAAAAAAGGCAAGCAAACCAAACATATACACAGTAGGACTGTTCGATTTTGGAATCGTGGTATTGCACTCAGTTTGAAAGATTTGACATGGGGTTTGACTTCAAACACCGACATTATAATAAAGTTCAAAAGTATTTATGTAGGCTTGTAGTTGACATGATAAATGAAAACTCAAAATAGATTTTTCCGAATCTTTACCGTATTTTTTTGTTGCTGAGGAAACGTGTTAAAAAGATTAAGTTTAGGTTCAAAATCTTAGCGTTGGAATTTCATTCCAGTGATCAGTGAAAGCCTTATAGCACAGCCTTTTAAAATATATAATTTATTGAAGCTTTACAAGTTGTATACGGACAAAGTGCATGCAGATTATTACGAAGTCATTGTGTCATTAAATATGACCTTCATTAACTTCAAAGGGAAATTAATCTGAACAGTTTATTTATATTATGATGTAATATGTACAGTAGTTTTAGTGGGATTTTCAAAGTCGAGCCTAGATGGGAATACCATGGCAGCTGGCATCTAATGTACTCTGAACAAGGCTGATAAGCTCAGTCACGATGACTTGCATCTTCGTGCTAGCACATCCATCAGCGTCTCCCCATGTAGTTCCGTCTAACCAAGGTATTCTATAGTTTTTATTTTGTTGCAGGAAAACAGACACGTGTATAAAAGTCTTGTATTGTCTCTTATTTAGAAAGTTTACCTTCAACTGTGTCTACGGCCACATAACGTTGAAATACCAATTCTGGTACGATTACCAGTTAAGCAACGTCAAGAAATGAAGATGGGTGACCACCTTATAAAATTTATAATTTACTGAAGATTTACAAATCGGATATGGACAAGATGCACATTATTACTAAATCATTGTATCATTAAATATGACCTTCATTTATTTCAAAAGGAAATTATGCTGGACAGTTTATCTATATTATGATGTAATATGTACAGTAGTTTTAGTGTGATTTTCAAAGTCGAGCCTAGATGGGAATACCATGGCAGCTGGCATCTAATGTACTCTGAACAAGGCTGGTAATCTCAGTCACGATGACTTGCGACTTTGTGCTAGCACAACCATCAGCAGCTCCCCAAGTATTTACGTGTACCAAAGGTATGCTATGGTTAAAATGCACAAGACACGCCACATGATGATCATACCAAGAAACCATTTGCAGAGACCCAGGTCTGGCCCACGACCGCGACAAATGGAGGATAATGGTTAGCAGCTCAGCAGGTCGGAGCCCCAGTTTTGGAGAAGGGAGTAAAGAAGAAGAAGAGGAAAGGAGTAGGAGGACGACGACGAAGGTGGAGAAGTACTAATTATGTTCCTGTATTAATACAGTCATAAACATAAACAAAGAAGAAGAAGAAGAAGAAGAAGAAGAAGAAGAAGAAGAAGAAGAAGCAGAAGAAGAAGAAGAAGAAATAATAATAATAATAATGTCTGGTACCATCGTTTACAGAAGAACATTGGTGTTGATGGAGTTTATTTGGAGAAAGGAAACTTGAAAAAATGCTTTTAATTCCATTTTTCCACCAACGTTTTGAAAGCTCCTATGTATATTAGGGTAGATCGATTTTGAAACCGTAGAGCTACAAAGGATAGGAAATTGTGGAGAGCCATGATCGCTGAAGAAGAAGAAGAAGATTGTGTAAATAATTGGCGGAACAGGGATTAGGAGAGATAGCAAAAAAGACAAACGTTGCTAAGAGCTACCAAGGACAGGACATTGTGGACAGCCAAGATCGGTGAAGTAGTACTGAGTGAATATAGCACATAGAAGAAGAAGAAGAAGAAGAAGAAGAAGAAGAAGAAGAAGAAGAAGAAGATTGTGTAAATGGTTGGCAGAACAGGGGTTAGGAGAGATAGCAAAAATGACAAATTTTACTAAGAGCTACTAAGGATAGGAAATTCCAAAAAGAAAGATCTTTCTGAAAGGACATGGTAGATAGCAGAGGAAGACTCAGACGTTAGATTAAATCTTTGTACATCTTCCTTGGATATATTGTTCTTTAGCATGCATAAAATCATAAAGATGGCGAATACCACCCTGTGGTACATTGCTTCATAGCTCTTTCATATTTCGATGTAATGCAGCGAGTGTCATGGCTATACTAACTGACCGAAAGAGACGATATCACAATCTATTTTTAATCATTTCTCTTCAAACAAGGTAATACTACCTAACGCCCTTTTTATAAATGAATGACAGGAGCAGAGAGGTGTGGAGAGTCATCATCGCCCACGCCCTGAAGTAACCTGTATAACCAGTTTTTGTGAGTGAGTAGAAAAGCGGCAACAAAGAGAGAAGGTAAAGACAAAATTGCTGCTTAGAGCTACAAGGGAGAGGAAGCTGTGGCGAAGCATGATCGCCCTAATACTGAATGAAGGCGACAAAAAAGAAGAAGGTGAATAAAACATCAGATATACATAGGTTGTAGCACGTTCCGCTGTTTCATACATCATCTAAGGTATCTTGGAATATTTCCCCACAACAGGCGATGAGGGGGTCACTGTTATATATGGATTATTGCTTTCGTAATATCTAGAGTCGTTACCGTTTATCACGGTTTTTTTGGGTTTTTTTTTTTTGGTCGGATTCTCAAGTGGTCATCTGTCACGAGAGACAGATTTTTTACCGACATATATCAGGAAACGGGACGTCATGAGAAAAACGGCGGGGAAACCTCAGAGGAAGCAGGAAAGTGATGGAGGTGAGATGGAAATGGAGACGTTTCCGCGCGCGGCAAAATTCCTTTTACACTCGGCCAGTAATTCATTAGAACGCGACTCTTAAAGTACGTCCTTCAAAACATCGGCATTTCAGTTCTTTGCAATGTCACTGTACCGAATAACCTCGCACAATTTAAAGGAAACGGGATACCTAATTATTATTATTATTATTATTATTATTATTATTATTACACCGGAAGTTCCTCCTCTAGATTCGATACCTTATTTTCAAACACATTCCCTTCCTTTTTTAATCATTCATGAATATATATATATATATATATATATATATATATATATATATATATATTACATGAATCATTCATACAAAAAATAAATATAAAGGTTAATGATTTAAATGGCGAGAATACATCGTCGCAAACAATTTCAATAAGATACATTAACCCCGAACCTGTATATGAATGATATGATCCCTGTTTATAAATTCCAATTTCATAAGGTCCTTTTAGTTTTTACAAGCTTTCGTCTGTTCCTACAGACATTCTCAGGTATGGAAATAGATCTGTTCTTGTTTTTTACTTTTCGGTAATAAGAGGACAGCGAAATAGGGATTAGTGTACCTTATTGAAATTGTTTGCGAAGATGTATTCTCGCCATTTAAATCATTAACCTCTATATTTGTTTTTTGTATGAATGATTCATGTAATTATAAATTGAACTGCACCTATAATCAAAATATATATATATATATATATATATATATATATATATATATATATATATAGAGAGAGAGAGAGAGAGAGAGAGAGAAAGATAGATAGATAGATAGATAGATAGATACAGTGAAAGAGAGTATGCGATGGATAAATTTTCGTCTAAATCAGGCAAAAATGAAAGTAACACTGACATCTCATTTTAACAAATATTTTTACCAAACTTGCACACAAATATCTTGAAGTACTGAAGAGAAAATATATTCACAATATACGCCATTGACATCGATCGCGGCCTCCAGTCGACTTCTGAATCTACAGCAACTCTCATTGTTTAACTTGGTGAATGCTGCCATAATCGTTGCCCTCAGTTCAATTCATTCTACGGTGTTACAAGGGGTTTTCATGGTCTCTGGCTCAACTACGCCCCACACATTATAATCAAGGGGATTGACATCTGGGGTGGGGCTACGTGGCCAAATGTAAGAGGTGATCTTGTCGCAGTGGGTTCTCTTGTTTGTGTGTCTTGGTGCAGGGTCCTCTTGCCAGACACAGGGTTTTTCAGCAGCCACCAACTTGACCCCAGGGCACTTGATGTAGGCCTCCGTGCTGAATATGAAACATGGGGGCATAACGTTGCCATTACTAGTGATCACTCCGAAAAGCATGGCATATCATCTAACTCTTTCCGAATACATTGTACTGTCCTCAGATTGACACCGAAACATTCTGAAATGTTCGTATTGAAACTTCCGGCACGAATGCCAAGCAGTATAGCATGCCATTTCCAAATTTTTGGCGGAGTGAATTGCATCATGGTACTTTTTTTCTCCCAGACAGTGCCCAACTGACCTTACTATACTGTGCAGTCAACAAAATCAATGCGTTATTAAAAATGTGAAATGGCGACAATTTTAATAGCAGCACACACACACACAATATATATATATATATATATATATATATATATATATATATATATATATATATATGTTATACTGGAACACATCTATTCTATTGTTAATAGACACTCCCACCTATAATAAGTAGGAGTAGTAGCAGTCGCTCAGTGAGTTGGTCAGTCAGACGACTGGCTGATCGGTTGAACTCTCTGCCTTCGGGCGGGGAGGAACCCGAAAGAGGCTACGCCGAACGGCGGATTCTATTTCGGGGAGATAACCGACCCTGAACCCGTTTATACGGGTTCAATGGGCTATTTTTTGCCCGAGCCCACGGGCTCGGAGATCTCACGTTAAACCGGCCTTATGCCACATGATGCCCTCGTGGTAGGGTGACTAAATATCGTTGGCTGTGTGAGTCAATGTCGGACGACCGTTAGTCGGATATTAAAGTATCAACCACCACAACTAGATTACTGCATCATTAACTATTATATCAAGTTCCTAACGTTTTGTACGTCGAACCTATTTTAGGACCGACTTAGTGAAATACAAACCTCCACTATGAAACTACTCCATAGCTATATATATATATATATATATATATATATATATATATATATATATATATATATATATATATATGCACGTTTCATTGAATATGACAGACAAGGTGCTTTGATTTAGTTTTTATAGAATTTCTCATGTGATCTTAAAATATTTTTGGGGGGGATAAATTATATAAAAACTGCCCAATTGTTCTTTTTCTCCAAGCGCTTTCGGCTGTACATTTAGCCATTATCATGATTGAAATATATTAAATGTGAACAAGAAACAGATTGTTGTATATGTGTATTTATATAATGTTTTCATTTTCAAAACATGGTCAAGATATTGTGTCCATATATCATCATCACGATCATCATCATGATCAACATCATCATCACCATCATCATCCTTCGACTACCTAATGGTTGGTCGGAACACCATTGGGAATCTCTTTCCAGACTGTTCGGTCCTCTATTGCGCCCCACATCTCGAATGTACCAACCCTGAGTCCCGGGAAAGTCAATTTTCGCGAGAAGACACTTCCAGAAGGATGCCATAGGAAATGCCAAGGTGAAATTGCTGATAGTTCTTTTGACTTACTATCGTATATAACAAACATACAATAAAATAAATTTTATAATCCATGGCCCTAATAAATAGTTTAAATACCCTACAAAAAAAGATAACCCTTTATGAAGTCGTCAAAAAACAAATGTTACGGCAGTTCTTTTATATACACAAAACCCTTTCAGAAAGAAATAAAATAAAAAAAATAAATAAATCTCCGTAGACACGTAAACCAGACTAGGCGAAATCATCTTCCGTTTCAAATTTAGACACCCCACCTTACCCTGACTTGATATCTATGAATGTAACTCTATACTGATACAAATTATTAACACCAAACACCTCTTCCTATTTAAACAATCGCTCTGGCTGTTACGATGGAAATTTTGATTTCAATAATGAATATGCTATTAAAACAAGTAAATTTCAGAAATAAGTTATTCCAAAAAAAATTTCGCTTGAAGATGGAACAGAGCTTACTTTAATTCAGTTTAATTCAAATAATTATATTGAAGTTTTCGGCTCTTGTTTTGAAACATGAGACCTCTTATGTAGCGTGTTGGAATCATACTTTTAAATAAATAATTATATATATATATATATATATATATATATATATATATATATATATATATATGTGTATATATATATATATATATATATATATATATATATATATATATATATATATATATATATATATATATGTACACATTACAGTTCAAAATTTACCCCAGGTATTTTTTCAATTGGCCCCATAACTAATTTTTAATTTAAATAAAAGACAATTATTATACATGATTAAAATAAGTGAGACATGATCTTTTAATAGAAATTTTATTATGAAAAAAAAAAAAAAGAAAAAGCAAAAAGCATTTTATGATTAAATTTTGCTCTTGTCAAAATATCCTTCTTTAGTCTTGATGATTGCAGCGCAAATATTTGGTATCCATTGCAAAAGCTTCTCAAATAGTAAGTTTGATAATTGATTCCATTCTTTGTTCAATGACTCTAAGAGCTCCCTTCATTTTTTTTCATTCTTCTGCCATCTCATGCTAATTCTAGGTGTTGCTTCAAAAAAAGTTTGAAATAGTATATATATATATATATATATATATATATATATATATATATATATATATATATATATGTTTTGTTAATCTTATTTAACAAAATTCGTTCTAGCTCTGTAACTGAGAACAATTTATACTAAAAAACGACGGCGTAGTAACTTGTAAGATCATTTTACGTCGCGTTTTGTTTAACAGAGCATTGAGTAAATTCTATGAATTAAAAAATATTTAAGGTTTAAGAAAATAAAATTTGATCTCATGTAATCTATATTTTATTAATAAAAAAAATTAACGGGGACTAACCTAATAATCCCAAGCATATCATAAAGGCACACCCCCAAGGTTTCCTGCCAGAATTCTTAACTTTGAAAATTAGTAAAGGAGTGGTTATCTTAATAAGGAAAATGCTCGTCTTAAAGCATATCAGATCTGAAAACATAGAGAAACATAATGTCTACTCAGATTTTATCTAAAATATCGTCTTTCTTTCTTAGATCGTCAGAAATATTTCGGTAGCTGGAACAAACATTGCGAATCGGAAATGAATGATGAAACACTTTTTTTCCGCTTTGAATCTAAATCTAAATTCGACGACCATGAGACTTGAGCTCTCAAAATGTGGGATTCCCAATATAACATGTTTAGCAGCAAAATTTTCCAAATCGTGTTACAGTATAAACTAAAACTAAACTAATTGATTTTCTGTTGTCCAGGTTTTCAGATAAGCCATCTTGATCCCATTTGTCGTAAGAATCAGTGAAAGACCCTTTGAGTTATTCAGCTAGAAAGAGAACAGTTTAAAATCATATTGTGTCAGCACCACTGTCTTCTAAAGTGATCAATGGTGAGAGGAAAAAGATCATTAATGCCTTCAGTAATGGTACCAACGTTCATACTCTGGCTTCTATCTTCAAAATCCATTCAAGAACCATCAAGAGAAAGGTGAATAATTTAAAAAAAATAAAGGGAATACGAGAGAGGAAAACTGGATCAGGAGGTAGCAACAGGAAGAGGGCATATATATATATATATATATATATATATATATATATATATTAAAGAGAAATGCCGCAAACGTTTTGGGTTGTAATGTGGATTTTTTTATTATGCTTTATTTTCCATAATTTTACTACCCGTGTTTCTGGTCTCGGGACCGTCTTCAGATAAAAGGCGGAGATTTCCACATATTATTAAAATTAATTATGTTGTTCAATGTTAAATATTCTCGATATGAGACATTCTCTGCTTTTGTGTTAGTAATCCGAATGTCTTTCTTGAATTGGCAATGAAGAGTTCTGCACG